GATTTGCTCCTGTCACTCCTCCCAGCTTCCAGCACTCCTTCTAGTGTGGGGCCCAGCAGTGAAATAAAGGAATAAATACATGATGAAAGAGAGGCATGTGTACGTGTTTTGTGTGTGAGTGCAGGGGCCAGGATCTGGGTGCCAGGGAGGGGGGTGGTCACTTCCTAGGGGCTTTGGGCCTCTGGGGACCGGCTCCAGTCTGGATCTGCAGCAGGTGCTAGAGGGAGCTGGCAGCCAGTAGTCATGCCTTAGGCGAGGAATCTGCCGCTGACACAAAGAGAGGGCTGACCTTTGGACAGAGACCCAGCAGGCGCCCAGCCTGGACTGTTGTTCTTCCAAGTCCTCTCAGGGTGCTAGTGGGCCCTCTCCAACCTGAAGAGCATTTCTTTTATTTTATTTATTATTATTTTTTTAGACAGAGTCTCACTCTGTTGCCCAGGCTGGAGTGCAAGTGGCGTGATCTCGGCTCACTGCAAGCTCCGCCTCCTGGGTTCAAGCGATTCTCCTGCCTCAGCCTCCTGAGTAGCTGGTATTACAGGCGCGGGCCACCATGCCCGGCTAATTTTTGTGTTTTTAGTAGAGACAGGGTTTCACCATGTTGGTCAGGCTGGTCTTGAACTCCTGACCTCGTGATCCGCCCGCCTTGGCCTCCCAAAGTGCTAGGATTACAGGCGTGAGCCACTGCACCCGGCCCTTGAGGAGCATTTCTAATTCCAAGCCCAGCAAGCCTCCTTAGAGCAGCTGCCTCTGGCACCTGCGTAATTATCAGAGAATAATCCTGTATCAAGGCCCCACTATGCGCCAGGCACTTTGGTGGCACTTTGCTCACCATCTCTCTAGCTTTCAGAGAGGGCTCATGGAGGTGAAGTGACTTGCCTAAGATCACATTGCTAGCACGTGGCCAAGAATTCGGCAAAGTTAGGACTCTTATTAAGTGAAACTGATGGTCATATTAGAGATGGACCAATTCCCACATCTCACCTCTAGAAGGAAACAGAAGCTCAGAGAGGGCAAATCCCTTGTCTAGGTCACACAGCCAGTTAGCTTGAGAGCTGGGATTTGATCCAGGCTTGGGGACTGCCTGGGCCATGTAAAACACTAAACTGGAGGGTTCCCATCACCCTCCTGCCCTCCCTACTCCCATCCTCTCTTATGACACTTGACATTATCCATCACTCCCTCCCCCTGGGAACGCCCTCCTCCTCCAGTTTCCATGGTAGCACATTCTCCCCATCCTCCTCCTGCTTCTCTGGCAGCTTCTCACTCTTCATGGTGGCTCCTGAGCCAGGAAGCAGGAGGATCCCGAAGCCGGATCTCCAGTCTCTCCTCTCTCTCCATCGCTAGCCCTGATAGCTCACCTACTCTTCCCTGTAGGTCTCTAGCTCTGACCCTGAACGCTGGCTCCACTTTTAAGCAGTAACTGCCACTTACCATGTACTTAGAGTTTACTTATGTTCTGGGCCTTATCCTATACATACATTAAATCCTCACAACCATCCATGAAGGAAGTCCACTCTACAGATGAGGAAACTGAGGCTCAGAGAGGGAAAGCCAAGATCTGATTCCAGCCTTAACCACTACTTCTTCTGCATCGAGACGAGGTATGAGAGCTGGGCACAGTGGCTCACACCTGTAAACCCAGTACTTTGGGAGGCAGGAGAATTGCTTGAGGATAGAAGTTCAAGACTAGTCTGGACAACACAGAAACACTCTGGTCTCTATTTTTTAAAAAAAGGCTGGGCTCGGTGGCTTACGCCTGTAATCCTAGGACTTTGGGAAGCTGAGGCGGGCAGATCCCCTGAGGTCAGGAGTTCAAGGCCAGCTTGGCCAACATGGTGAAACCCAGTCTCTACTAAAAATACAAATATTAGCTGGGCTGTGGTGGTGCGTGCCTGTAATCCCAGCTACTCAGGAGGCTGAGGTAGGAGGATCACTTGAGCCCAGGAGTTTGAGACTGCAGTGAGCTATGATTGCACCACTGTACTTGCACTCCAGACTGGGCAACAGAGCAAGACACTGTCTCAAAAAAAAAAAAAAAAAAAAAGATGAAGAAGGGATCTGAAACAGTAGGACATCTTGAAATCAGGGGCAAAAACTTTCCTCCCTCCTCCTGGAGAGAGAGAAATGGAAATTTTGGGGGAAACAGACGTACTCTGCAGTTTTGAGAACCCTGTGACGATCTAGAATTACACTGTCAATTTAGAGCTTTAAAATGCACCATGCACAGTACATTCTGAAACGTGAAGATTTGGAGAGCTTCAGGAGGAACAAAAGTTCATGGGAAATTGCCCGTTTCCTTTAGATTTTTCCATTTGGTTTTAGGTCTTCAAAAACCTCATTCTGGGGTTCCAGCTTCTAAGGCCTTTCTACTTCAATGATGCCTGGAATTAACTGGAAACATGGACCCTGGAATTCCAGGGACCCAAGTTCTGCCACTATGAACAGGCCCTGTGACTTAGGAGCAAGTAGCCTGACCTCTCAGCCTCGGCTCTCTTTGTCCTCAATGGGGATAACACTACTTCCTCACCAGGCTGTCCTGAGGATCAGGATGCACACAAGTGCCTGATGCACACAAGGCACTTGGCAGAGAGCCTGGCACACAGAAGAGCTCAGTTAAGCCCCATGCTCTAGCTGCACCCAACTTATTGGGTTTACCAAGCATTTAAACATCCCCACGTGTCCACACACGCGATTTCCTCTTCTTGGTGGCCAACTCCTATTCATCCTTCAGGGCCCCCGACCCTCTTCCTCCTCTTACAGAATTGCTACGAACATGTGTTTCAGTGAAAAGCTAGAAAAGGCACTTCCCCATGACACCCTCCCTAGGACTCCCTGTCACTGCACTTATCACACTGAGGTGCAATCATCTGTTGATGCTTTATGTCCCAGCACTGGCTCAGGCTTTCTGAGGGCAGGGCCGAGGCTGACTCATTTCCAAGTCCTGACGCCCAGAGTGCATGCCTGGCATGAAGTCGATTTCAATACAAGTTGGCACTACCTTAAACACACGTGGTCTGGACCCAGGCCCTGCTGACCCCAGGACAGATTTATGTATCAGAAGGGGCAAAATCCAGCCAGATCTGTTACAGACACAGGAGATGGCAGTGAGTGGGCTTCAGGCAGCCTTGAAACAGGCCTATCCTGGGAGCGGACACAGTCCCTGCAGGGAGAGTAAACAGCCTGACTCCAGTGTCACCTCTTTCAGGAGTCTTCCCCAGTTCCTAGATTTTCCCCTTTTTCTGCCATACCCCCAAAGCATTCACAGGAGGAGCCCCTGACGAGGAGAAGTGTCTCCTGCCATGCTGATGACCTCCCACCCTCAGACACAGGGGTCTCTGTGGTCACAGGGTAGTGAGAGTGATCTAGGTGGCTTGGGATCCCAGGTCACAGTGGCTTGGCAGGCTGGATGTGAGTGCTGGGCACGGCCCCACATCTTTCCAGGACCCAGGGAAGCCATTTCCCAAAGGAGGCACATCCCCAGGTCTAGGGTTGCTGGGAGCCTCATCCTGAGAAGGGGGCTGTGCTTTGCCCTCCAAGGGCATCCCTTCCCCCTAATGTGCCCAAAGCCCCTCTTGGTGCCTAAGTCCCCAGCCCCCTGCATGCTATTCAGTCCCTGCTGGATTGACAGCCTCCCAGCTTTTGTTCCAAAGACATGGTTGTCAAAAGGAAAAGAAGTATATTGTTTCTTTTTCTTTTTTCTTTTGTTTGAGACAAAGACGTCAATTTCTTTCCATCTGTCCCAAAAAAGGAAGAAAATTAAATTTGTTTTTACAAGGATGTCAGCACACTGCTTCAATAGGGAGTCAGGGGTGCATTACTGAGGCAGTGTTGGTGAGGGAGGGGAGAGCAGTGGGGGGAGAGGAGATGAGGCACGGGGGAGGTAGAGGGAACAAGGACAGACACTGATATTCTGGGAAGCAAAGATCCAGGAGTGCCTGAATAAAATGCCAAACCAATGAAGAGAGAAACTTCTACACCCAACTCCAGGTGGATGCCACTCTCAGCAGCATGAAGGGGGCAGCTAGGCTGGAGCAGGTGGGGAACCTGGGGAGCCTGCTGAGGGGAAAGGCAGAGGGGGACGCACACTGATGTCGGCATTGCAGTTACAAAAGCTTCTCCCCCCAGTTCCTTCAAGGTCAGGTCCCCATATGGGCAGTTCCAGTTCACTGGAGTCATTGACACCAGACACATGGGTGCAGCCAGATGTTGGGAGAATGGAAGAGGATTTCATCCAGGTTCTTATCAGGGGCCCAGGACCCAGCATCAAGTGCGAACCGATGCTTCTCATACTCCACCCCCCACCCCCAAGAGTCCCAGGCACCACTTACCATTCACAGGATCTAAGTAGGTGGTCCTCTGTCCTCCAGTATCTGGGCCAGAGAAACTAGGGCCCTGAGGACCCACAAAAAGCATCCACCTTCCACTGGAAGACCTAACCTTGAAGCAGGAGCCCGCCTCTCTTCCTCCACCCACCCACCACCACTCCTTGCCACAGAGGTCCACTCCGGGCCTGAGTTTTCAAGATGGTTTTGGAAGCCTTCTCCTTCCCAAGCCTCTGGGCTCCCATTAGTACTCAGGTCTGGGGACCCTACCCCAACCAAGGTCCTGTCTTATTACCCTATCCTGGAGCAGCTGCCCCCTGCTCTACTGTCCTGTCCCAAGGCCCACTGTGGCCACTTCGATTCTGAGGCATTCCTGCCCGTTCCAAGGAAATACACGACTGTCAAAGAGAGAAAAGGTATATTGTTTCTCTCTTTTCCTATCTCTTCCTCCCTCATTCTCCCTCTCTTTTTTTAGAGACAGGGTCTTGCTCTGTCCCCCAGGCTGGAGTGCAGTGGTGGCACCACCATAGCTCACTGCAGCTTCAAACTCCTGGGATCAAGCGATCCTCTCACCTTCCAAGGAGCTGGGTCTGCAGGTGCAGAGCTGCCTGGCTAATTTTGTATTTTTTGTAGAGACAGGGTCTCTCATGTTGCCCAGACTAGTCTCAAACTCCTGGGCTCATGCTCATCCACCCGCCTCAGCCTCCCAAAGTGCTGGGATTACAGGCTTGAGCCACCACGCCTGGCCCCTCAGTCTTTTATATTCTATTTATAGAGGTGTCAAGTTGGACCTGGACCTCAGCGAGCCTTGCCCCTTGCTAGAACTCGGTGGGACTGTATCCGAAATTGAGGCCACAGGTCCTTTGCACAGGCCCCCTCTCCAGTGACCAAATCTTGAGCTGTGGCCACACCCGGCTGTCCTGTCTCTGGGTCTCCCCTCACAGGAGGCTCCTCCCTACTACAGAGAGACCCAGTCTTGCAGCTCAGTTTTCAAGCAACTGTCCCCACCACTGCCCCTCCTGGGTCCTGGGTCCGGACGCCCAACTCCAACAGTCCGGCTCCAGGCTAGAAACCGAGGCTGTCTCAAGGATGAAGCCCCGCCTCCCTGGAGATCCCCTGTTTAGGGACTCAGTTCCAGAGCCACAGGTCCAGCTCCTCCCCTGGAGTCACTGGCTTTCCCGCCCCACCTAGAGCCGTGGACGGGGCACCCAGCCCAGAGGCCCCGTGCTATTGATCTGCCCTCTGCCTCGCCCCAAACCAGAGGCCCACCCCATGCCCATCTCGCGGCCCGGCCTCGTCTCCAAAACAGAGGCCCCATCTGGCGATCCCAAGCCTCCGACCTTCTACTGCCCCATTCCACATCATGGCTCGCGCCTCCCACTGGGACTCATGTGGCCGCAGGGTCACTAGGGAGGAGCGTGCTGGGGGCCGGACCGCCTGGTCAGGCGGCGGCGCCACCGCCGGGACCGTCGGACGGGGTGCAGGCAGTGACCCGCTCGCGGGCCGTGGCTTCGCGGGCGCGGCTGAAGCTGCTGGGGTCCGGGCGGCCACAGGGCTTGCGGCAGAGCTGGCGGAAGCAGCGCTTGAAGTTCTCGTCAAGGAAGGCGTAGAGCACGGGGTTGAGACTGCTATTGGCGTAGCCCAGAGCGATGCACAGGTGCAGCGCGGCCACCACCAGCGGGTCGCGCCGGTCGATATCCACCAGCGTCCAGACGATGACGAATATGTGGATGGGCGCCCAACACACCACGAAGGCGCCCACCACCACCAGCACCATCCGCGTGATGCGCCGTAGGCTGCGGTCCTTCTCCTTGGAGCCCGACAGCAGGCGCACACTGCGCAGGCGCAGCAGCATGAGGCCGTAGCACACGGTGATGATGAGGATGGGCACCACGAAGGCGAAGAGGAACACGCAGATCTTGGTCACCGTGTCCCAGTACCAGCTGGGGCTGGGGAACTGGAGCATGCACACCACCGCCCCATCTGGGCCGCGGAAACAAGGAAAGACAGACGGGGTGAGGAGCCTGCGTGCCTAAGGGGCCCCCACCTGCTCACCCACCCTTCCAAGGCTTGGGCAAGTCCCACCACCTCCTCCCAGCCTTTGTTCAAGGGGATTCTTCTGTCTGGAATGTCCTCCTCAGATTCTGCACTTGGTGAACTCTTAGTCATCCTAAAAGACCCAGTAGGATTGGCCCTCGTCTGGGAGGTCCCCTATATTCTCTCCTGGCCCTTTTATCAGCCTTTGTGCCCATGGGTGGCAGTAATGAAATCATTTAGCTCAGCCCACTGAATGCCAGTCATTGCAGTAACTCAAAACACCCTGACCCATTTCCAAACTAGCTCCATTGGGAACAGGACTTCTAAGACAGACAACATGAGTTAGGAGCAGGACTCAGGCCCTACTACACAGTGTAAGGAAATTACTAAACCTCTTGGAGCTTCACTGGAGTGGGGCTAATGACAGTACCCACATCTCCAGGATTGTCGTGAGGATTAAATAGGCTAAGGCACCTAACGCATTTAGCACAGTGGGGTTCAAGCTCTTGGTGTACCCACAGGGAAGAGGGGCACATATGTGTGGGAGTCCAGGACTCAAAGATAGGGTCAGCCTCCCCAGAGGGAAGCAGGTCTCAGCTTAATTGCAAGAACCTCCTGGCCAGGCGTGGGGCTCACGCCTGTAATTCCAGCACTTTGGGAGGCTGAGGGAGGTGGACTGCTTAAGTCCAGGAGCTCGAGACCAGCCTGGGCAACATGGCGAAACCCCATCTCTACAAAAAAAAACACATTAGCTGGGTAGGGTGGTGCACATCTGTAGTCCCAGCCACTCGGGGGGCTGAGGTGGGAGGATCACTTGAGCACTGGAGGTTGAGGCTGCAGTAAGCTGGGACAGTGTCGCTGCACTCCAGCCTGGGTAACAGAGTGAGACCCTGTCTCAAAACAACAAAAACAAAACGAAACTTACTTCCTTCCTTCTCGGAGGAAAGCAGATTTCAGCTTAACTCAAGGACTTCCTTCTTGAGATAGGAAGGGTGCCCAGGATGAAATAAGCTCCCCATTCCTGGAGTGTGGGCTTGGGCCGGATGAACACCTTACAGGGTGTTGTGGGATTCTGATACAGCCTTGAGGCTGGCCCAGGGGACTCCCAGGATGTCTTGGAATGCTAGGATTTAAGAAGCCACACAATGGACTTGAGGCTAAGAGGTGAGAAGGGGCTGGGGATCCACAGACAGAGTGGGTCCACAGGACATCAGGCTGGCAGGACCCCTAGAAAGAGCTGAGTCCAAGACCTTCATTGTATAGGAACCAGAACAGCACTTGTTCAGGATCACACAGCAAGTGGCCCACAGGTCCAATAAGTGCTGATGGCACACACTGGGAAAGTGTGTGCGTGAGGGATTGTGAGTGAGGAGGCCCATCTGGTCCAGCCCCAGCAGGGATGCAATTAATGGCCTGTAAACTGAAGGCTGACAGTGAGGAATGGGGCTCTGCTGCTGAGTCAAGACCAATGACTCATAGGCCGTAAAAGGGCACCAGGGGCTCTGCCCTTGTGAGGGTCAAGGGTAACCAAGAAGCTTGTTCTCTCCCAACCACAGCAATGACCCTCTGCAAACTTCCACCCAAGGGACTAGAAGGAGCAACAGACCTGGGGGCAGGAACCCTAGGTTGCAGGCCAAATTCCACAAAATGCCTGGCTGTGTGACCCTAAGTAAACCACCTGACCTCTCTGACTCTGTTTTCCTACAGTCAAATGCAGGTAGGAGTCCCTGCCTTGTCTATCTCACAGGCTTAATCATTTAATAGCAGCTATTCATTGGGCCTTGGCGATGAGCCAGGACTTGTCCTAAGTATTCTACACATATCATCTCTTTTTTCTCAACATCTCATGCTATAGTGTGACTCAGAGAGGTTAGTTCCTGTGTCTGTGGTGCCCTTCTAAACAATAAACTTCCTTGCATTAAGGTGGGGCCATGTGACCAGCTGTCACTAGGAAGAGATGGGCCATAATTTTTTTTTTTTTTTTTTAAGACAAGTCTCGCTCTGTCGCCCAGGGGGAGTGCAGTGGCATGATCTCAGCTTACTGCAACTTCCGCCTCCCGGGTTCAAGTGATTCTCCTGCCTCAGCCTCCCAAAGAGCTGGGACTACAGGCACCTGCCACCAGACCTGGCTAATTTTTTTTTTTTTTTTTTTTTTTTAAGACAGAGTCTCGCTCTGTCACCCAGGCTGGAGTGCAGTGGCACAATCTCGGCTCACTGCAAACTCCACATCTCAGGTTCACGCCATTCTCCCGCCTCAGCCTCCCAAGTAGCTGGGACTACAGGCAACTGCCACCACGCCTGGCTAATTTTTTGTATTTTTAGTAGAGATGGGGTTTCACCACGTTAGCCAGGATGGTCTCGATCTCCTGCCCTTGTGATCCGCCTGCCTTGGCCTCCCAAAGTGCTGGGATTACAGGCATGAGCCACCGCGCCCAGCCAATTTTTATATTTTTAGTAGAGATAGGGTTTCACCATGTTGGCCAGGCTGGTCTGGAACTCCTGACCTCAAGTGATTCACCCGCCTTGGCCTCCCAAAATGCTGGGATTACAGGCATGAGCCACTGCACCCAGTCAACATTTAAAGTGGCTATGCTTTCTACCCGCTCCTTCTCCATATTCATCTGCCGGCCATATGCCAGCAGTAGAAGATTCTGAAGCCATCAACAGGAGGCTGGGTCCTTGAATGACTGTGCTCCTCCTACTCACACTGGATTGTGATGGGAGCAAGAGAGAAACCTCTACTGTGTCAAGCCCCTGAGCTTTGGAGAATGTTATTGCAGCTCCCCTAATGCAGGGAGGTACTATAATAACTACCATGTTAGCTCCTATTAGTCATTCCCTGCAGGCCATTCTCTAGGCCTTGCTTTGGTCATCCAGGCTAATGGTTTTCAAATTAGGATAAAAGGGAGTTTAAAATGGGAACACAGAACTTGCGGCCTCCACTGCTCACTAGTCAGTGACACCCTTACCTCATTGGACATCCATCCATCTCTCTATAGATCAGTCATCCACACATCCCTGGCCAGCCACCTACGTGTACATAACCAGCCATCCATAATCCCCTTCATAAATTCATACATTCCCTTTGGCCAGTAACCCATAAGACCACTGATCAGTCATTCATCTTCACAATATTCAACCATCTGTGTCTTCCACTGGCCAGCTTTTCCCATTCCCATTGGTTGACCTTCTACACTCCCACTGGCCAGACACCACACCATCATTGATCTTGATCAGAATCCAACCTCTGCTGGTGAGCCACCTACACTCACCCTGGTAAGTGCCCTGCAAGCCCACAAAGGGCCATGTACTGCCTCCTGTGGTCAGTGGCCTGTGCCACCGTGCATTTACTCACTCACCCCGGGGACGGGTCACAGCCATGACCATTATGGGCACGCCAATGCCTGAGGCCAGGACCCAGATACAGATGTTGATCAGCTTGGCCTTGGCAGGCGTGCGGAAGTCCAGGGCCTTGACAGGGTGGCAGACAGCGATGTAGCGGTCGACACTCATCATGGTGAGCGTGAAGATGCTGGTGAACATATTGTAGTAGTCGATGGAGAGCACAGCCTTGCAGAGCAGCTCGCCGAAGGGCCACGTCTTCATCAGGTACTTGGCACTCTGGAAAGGCAGCGTGCTGGTGGCCAGCGCATCAGCCAAGGCCAGGTTGAAGATGTAGATGTTGGTGGCCGTCTTCATCTTAGTGTACCTTAGAAGGAAATGCATGTGTAATTAATCCCATTTCACAGATTTCAGTTTCACATGAAACTCAGGGATGGGAAGTAGCTTTCCCAAGATCATGCAAAAGGTCAGGGGAGGCTGGACGCGGTGGCTCACGCCTGTAATCCCAGCACTTTTGGAGGTCAAGGCAGGTGAATCACCTGAGGTCAAGAGTTCAAGACCAGCCTGGCTAACATGATGAAATCCCGTCACTACTAAAAATACAAAAATTAGCTGGGTGTGGTGGCGTGCTCCTGTAGTTCCAGCTACTCGGGAGGCTGAGGCAGGAGAATTGCTTGAACCTGGGAGGCGGAAGTTGCAGTGAGCCGAGATTGCACCATCGCACTTCAGCCTGGGTGACAACAGCGAAACTCTGTCTCAAAAAAAAAAAGGGTCGGGGCAAAGGTGGGACTAGAACCCTGCGCTATCTGATCTGGCATCGCTCCTTTCCACTACAACAGAAGCAAAAGGATTTCTCTGGTTGTGAATAACTTTGGCAGAAGGTGTTTTAAGAAAAATCCTAGGCCAGGCGCAGTGGCTCACGCCTGTAATCCCAGCACTTTGGGAGGCCAAGGCAGGTGGATCGCTTGAGCCTAGGAGTTCAAAACCACCCTGGGCAACACAGTGAAACCCCATCTCTACCAAAAAAAAAAAAAAAAAAATTTAGCCAGGCATGATGGTGCGTGCCTATAGTCCTATCACTCGGGAGACTGAGGTGGGAGGGTCGCTTGAGCCCAGGAGGCAGAGGGTGCAGCGAACTGAGATCGTGCCGCTGTACTCCAGAGTGGATGACAGAGCATGACACTGTCTCAAAAATAAATAAGTAAATAAAAGAAAAAGAAAAATCCTTATCTTCTAAGAGGTACTAAGCAATATGTTTAAAAATAAAACTGGGCTCCAGCAGAAAGCAGATCTGGGTTCTAATCCTGCCTCTACTATTTATTATATTAGCTGAGTGACGCTGAGAAACTTGAGCTCTCTAACGCTCTGCATTCATAACTGTAAAAAGAGGGGTGATGTTTGTAGCAATCTCTTAGGATGGCTGTGAAAATTTAATAAGCTAACACAGCACTTAGCCCCAAGCCTGATACATGGAGAGCAATCTGGACACAATCACTGTTCTTTTTCTTCACAGGTGAAGAATGGAGCTGGGGGCTAGACCAGAGTGACTTGATTCTCTAGCTCCTGGCACTGACCTGGCCTTTGGGGAGTATGATTGGTCAACTCTGAGGAAGGGACACTGCCTAGTAGATTGGCTGGGGCCTGAGGCCCCCTGGGTGTCCTCTGTGGTAGACCGGAGCCACCAGTCCTTCCTGCGGCTCCATCCAGGCCTCCTCATCTCCATGTAACTGGACTCACCTCTTTGCAGAAGCCACAGTGCATCCCTCTTCCCATCCACAGTGGTGTAGGGAAGCGGAGCAGGTGACAGGGTCACACGTCCAACCCAGGGCATGAGCCCAGGGGTCCAGGGCAGATGTCTGCAGCCAAACTCTGCACCCAGCACTCCCGTTATCCCACCATGCTCTCTGCCCTGCACAGCTATCTACACTGCAGTTGACCCCCTGTTTGGCCAACGCATACAGCCATGGCCCCTTCTGCACCAGGGCCTGGGCGGGGCACCAGGTAGCCCAGAGGAGACTGCATACACTGAGCCAGACCCTCCCAAATGCAGTGTCACCACCACAGCAACACACGGGCACCCTGAGGCGGGGCGACGTGACACCACTCTCATGCCTCTGGGGTGATCTGAGATACCCGGAGGAGGGTTACACGAGTGACTCCTCGAATTCCAGAGCAGGAAGAGAGACACATTAAGGGGAAGTGATTTTATTAAAGCGTGGCCCGAGGGCTCACTTCAGAATTACCGGAAGAGCCTGGAAGAAATGCAGGGTACTGAACTGCACCTCAGAGCTGATCAATCTTCATTTCTGGAACTGGGGCCTGGGAATCTTCATCTTTAAGAAGCACCTCCTCACCCCAAGTGATTCTTATGAATTCTGAAGTCTGAGAATTACTACGTAGCCTAAAGCCTCCATTTGGGAGAGATGGGGAGACTGAAGCCCAGAGAGGCAGCATGACTCATCTAAGGTCACACAGCAACAGTGGCAGAGCCGAGGCGAGAACTGAGACTTCCTGACTCCCGCACTCCTTCTTTCCTCCACCCCAGGGGTGGTCCCATACTGTGTGCCTCCATTCCTTTAGAATCTCTCTGATCCCATGCCCAGCCCTGGACACCTAGGATGAGGCACTCAGTGTTTTCGAATGGTGGAATAAACTCGCATCAGCTAAGGCTGTTCCTGTATGAAGTGACTGGTATTTTTGGTTGAAAGGAATTGACTCACTCATTGTCCTCCAGGGCAGCATCTGTCCTACTCCCTCCCAAATAGCTGCTATTTGCTCTGGGGCTGGAGAAGGAAAAAGTTTTGCTCGGAGACAGCAGAATTGCAAGTCTCAGGAAGTGTCTTCAGTGGGGTGTGGGATCACAGCTGTGTGGGAGGCGGTCTCAACCCCACAGCTGACTCGTCTAATTTCTCTGCTCTTACGCAGAACAATTAGAGGCTGTTCTTCGCCTGCTATTTTGATTTGCGAAGGATCCTTCCATTCCCAGAGGGGGCTGGGATGCTGGGAAGTGGGTGATGAAGCTGCTGTAGTTGGTCCAAGCGGGCTGAGCGGCCCAGCGCTGACTGCCTGCCAGGCAGGGCCCCAGGCTCCTCTCCTCACAGCCCCCCTCTCTCCCCTCCACCCACAGCCACACCCCGTCCTTCTGGCCATCTTAGACTCCCTTCTCCAGCCCCAAGACAAATCATGCCGCTCCCCTGCTCTCAATTCCCCAGCGACTTCCCAAAATTCTCTCTGTTCTGCAAGCTGCCCCGACCACCTTTGGGATCTCAGTTCCCAGCATGTTCTCCTCCACCGATGTGCCCCTGCCACACACTGGCCTCTTTGCTGTTCCCTGGACATGCCAAGCCCACTCCCACCTCCCCACTTCAGGGCCACTGGACTTGCTCTTGCCTCTTGCCTGGAACCCTGGTCCCCCCATATTTTGCACGCTTGCTCCATCACTTAATTCAGGACTCTATTCAAATGCCACCTCCTCAGAGAGGCCCTCCCTGACCACTCTATCTAAAGTACCATCCTCCCCACCAACTCTAGCTCCCTCAGCGGCTTCATTTTTCATTACAGCACAAACCACTTCCTGACTTACATTCATCTTCTTTTCTGCCCACTTGGGTCTCTCGCCCATGCAAGTTCCCTGAAGTCAGAAGACTTCATCCATTTTGTTCCCTGCTGTATCCTTGGGCCTACCAGCAGTGCCCGGCAAAAAAAGCAGGCTCTCAGTCAGGCGCAGTGGCTCACGCCTGTAATCCCGGCGCTTTGGGAGGCTGAGGTGGATGGATCACGAGGTCAGGAGTTCGAGACCAGCCTGACTAACACGGTGAAACCCTGTCTCTACTAAAAATACAAAAATTAGCCAGGCATAGTGGCACGCGACTGTAATCCCAGCTACTCAGGAGGCTGAGGCGGAAGAATTGCTTGAACCCAGGAGGCGGAGGTTGCAGTGAGCCTAGATCGTGCCACTGCACCCTAGCCTGGGTGACAGGGTAAGACTCTGTCTCAAAAAAAAAAAAAAAAAAGCAGGCTCTCAAGAGACATCTGTGATGTGGATGTCTTAGTCCAACCTCACCAGCTCGCACAGGGACACTGCAGCAGCCTCCCTCCCCCACAATTCATCACCCATGTAAGTTGGCGGCTCACTCTAAAAGGCAGATTTGGCCAGGTATGGTGGCTCACGCCTGTAATCCTAACACTTTGGGAGGCTGAGGTCGAGGACTGCTTGAGCCCGGGAGTTTGAGACCAGCCTGGGCAACACAGCAAGGCACTGTCTCTTAAAAAAAAAAAAAAAGCCGGCCGGTGGCCACGCCGAATCCACACTTGGAAGCACGGATCACAATCAGAATCGAACATGGAACCGTCTCTACTAAAAAAAAAAAAAAAGCGGGCAGTGGGGGCCGTAGCCAGCTACCGGGGAGGCGGAGAATGGCGGAACCGGAGCGGAGCGCAGGGCCAGATGCGCCACTGCACTCCAGCTGGTACAGAGCGAGACTCCGTCTCAAAAAAAAAAAAAAAAAAAAAAAATTAGCTGAGCATGGTGGAGTGTGCCTGTAGACCCAGCTACTCAGGAGGCTGAGGAAGGAGGATCACTTGATCCTGGGAGTTTGAGGTTGCAGTGAGCTCTGAAAATACCACTGCGCTCCAGTCTGGGGAACAGAGCAACACCCCATGTCTAAAAACAAACAGCTCCCTGGACTGGATTTCCATCTGGGTAGCCTCCTCTCCCACAGTGCCCTCCCGTGTCTGGCCACATCAGCAGTCCCTCACATGTTCTGTGTAGCACGCCCTCCCTCCTGAGGGACAGCCACTATCACGACTTGCTGGGGATCCTTCCAAATTATATATATGTATATAGCTTTTTAGAAAATTTTATTTCTGGCCGGATGTGGTGGCTCATGCCTGTAATCCCAGCACTTTGAGGGGCTGAGGCAGGCAGATCGCTTGAGCTCAGGAGTTGGAGACTAGCCTGGACAACATGGAAAAACCTTATCTCTAAAAAAAATTCAAAAATTAGCCAGGCTTGATGGTGGGCACCGTAATCCTAGCTACTCAGGAGGCCAAAGCACAAGAATCACTTGAACCCGGGAGGCAGAGGCTGCAGTGAGATCGCACCACTGCACTCCAGCCTGGGCGACCGGGTGAAATCCTATCTCAAAAATAAAAGGAAAGAAAATTTTATTTCTGCCAATGTAACACAATTACATAGTGTAAAAAGTCATGCAGGACAATAATGAGAACAGCTGCCCCTCTACCCGTCCTTGCTCACTTACTCCTCTGTCCCGTTCCCCAGAGGCAACCACTTTGAATGTTTTTAGCTATTCTTATAGCGATTATCTCCACAATTCTAAAGAATATGCTTATGTGGCTATTTCTTGA